GCTGTGGGCGGCTGTGGCTGTGGAGCCACGGCTGCGGGGCGGCTAGGCTGTGGAAAATTGCAGCCGTGCAGAACTCTAGCTGGGAGTCCACCCGCGGGACGGGGGACAGCGCCGGGCCGGCCCCGGGTCAGGTGGGGCTGGGAGTCCACCCACGGGACGGGGGACAGCGCCGGCCCCGGGTCAGGTGGGGCTGTGGATCCACCCACGGGACGGGGGACAGCGCCGGCCCCGGGTCAGGTGGGGCTGGGAGTCCACCCGCGGGACGGGGGACAGCGCCGGGACAGCGCCGGGCCGGCCCCGGGTCAGGTGGGGCTGGGAGTCCACCCGCGGGACGGGGGACGGCGTCGGCCCCGGGTCAGGTGGGACTGTGGATCCACCCGCGGGACGGGGGACAGCGCCGGGCCGGCCCCGGGTCAGGTGGGGCTGGGAGTCCACCCGCGGGACGGGGCACAGCGCCGGGCCGGCCCCGGGTCAGGTGTGTCTGTGGATCCACCCGCGGGACGGGGGACGGCGCCGGGACCGGGTCAGGTGGGGCTGGGAGTCCACCCATGGGACGGGGGACAGCGCCGGGTCAGTGAGCGGGCCGGCCCCGGGTCAGGTGGGGCTGGGGGTCCACCCGCGGGACGGGGGACAGCGCCGGGTCAGGTGGGGCTGGGAGTCCACCCACGGGACGGGGACGGCGCCGGTGGACAACAACTGCCGCAACGGACACCGGTAAGCAGCTTACGTCGGCCGCCGCGCCGCGCCGGTGAAGGGGAGAGAACTGGTACATGGAGACGGAGCCAGTCGCGCGACACAGCACTGCACCGAGCAGCCGGATTCATTACTCATCAGCAAACCACACTGGATAAACGGCACTATATAACTACAGCCAACCTTGGACGAGTCTGGCTCAGAGGCTCAAATACAAACTGTATGGCCAGTAGCCTAACCGCTTTTTACGCAGTAATCAGCGCGGTAATGGCCCACTGGCCCTCAATTAACCTTTCCTCCTCGACCTGCCATTTCAGCCCCACGCAGAGGGGTCGCGTTGGGAGCCCAGCAGGCGCGGAGGACGGCAGCCGGCCCCTCCCCACACCCTGCCGCTCCTGCCCTTCATCCCGGCGGCAGCCGGGCCGGAAACGGCGCCCTCCTTCTGCCCTCTCCCTCACAGCGCCCACCGGCCAATCAATGGACAGCCGGAGAGGGAGAGGGAGAGGGACAGGGAGACGGGCGGCGGCGGGCCCGGCCGGCCGCTCCACCGCACCGCGCGCTGGACAGCTGAAATAATGGCCGTAATGCGCCGGTGACGAGACACCCCACCCACATCTAGCGGTGGGGCACCGTGTCGGCGGACAACATTGAACCTCTCACGGGTGCACAGTGTACTCAGTTGGCAAGGGTCGATGGATGACGATAACATTTTCACCAGCTGTTTCCGTTGCACAAAAAAGGCTGACAATGTATCGCAAGCTCCACCGTTAAGTTATTCATTGCAACGCAACTGTCCGGGCACAGAGAAATCTGTTCTGAAATATGGCACTACTGACTCTATTGTGCTGCTGAATTGTGTGCAGTAACAACGTGAAATCCAACTGATGCCAATTACCACACGAAGCTCTGTCTAAGGTTGATGCGGAACATGCTGAGTTTTTACCAATCACAAGCGCCAGGTGAGCGAGTCATCTCTTTCTTCCACGGCTGATAGGGGGTAGTCTGTTAGAGGGCAACTCAGCGCGTCGGATTACGACGACAACAGTACAGAATGACGTGAGCCGGCATCAGGCGGCTCAACTATCTTGATTGCCAAAAAACGTTGTCACAGTGGCGAGGAAAATAGAGCATCACAGCGGAGATGAGACCCACCGTCTGACCCCGCCCTCTATACCCGGCGCCAGGGTCTTACGAGCCGATCACGTGGTGTTCGAACAGAACCGTGTCGAAATCAGCGGCATTCGTCCATTAACCGAAAACTACTTTGGATAATGATTCAACGAGCGTCTTTGCAGAGAGCAGTGCTTCCATAGCTACGGCGTGACGAACAGAGCGACAGGCGATGACCGGTAGACGGGTTGCATATTTTGACCCAAGTTCTACAGCTTGGAATTGTGAAGTTGCTGTCTGAAACAGCTGCATTTGTCTGAACAGTCCAGCACTTGTTCAGCTTCAGCGTCCGCCTAAAAACGCGGAGCCGGCGTCCGCCTATAACCGTGTAGCCGGCGTCCGCCTATAACCGTGCAGCCGGCGTCCGCCTATAACCGTGTAGCCGGCGTCCGCCCACCGCCCCCGCTCCGAGGCCGCCGCGGCACGCGCCGGTCACAGTCAGCCGTCACGATCGGCTCACTTTCGCCGCGAGCTGCCGCGCCGCCTGGTCCGGTGCAGTTCACGGCTCTGAGGCGGCGCCGGGCCGCGGCCCAGCAGGGAGGGACGACGCAGGACCCGAGACCGGCCCGGCACGAACGCAGGCGACGCACCGCCGCGCGCTCACCACGCAATCTCGTGAAACGGCGAGAGTAGAAACCGGTGTCCGGCTGGCACCGGCGTCAGCCGCGGCCAGTGGCGGGGTCGGCACGGGGCGCGCGTCATCACCTCCTCTGGCAGTGTCAGCTGTCACTGACACCGTCAGCCGTACATCCCCTCGTGGCAGTGACTGCCCGAGGGTGTGCGCCGCTGTCATTGAGCACATGGCACCTGCTCCCAGACAGTCCGGGTCCTCCGGTCTGATGCGAGGTGCGGTCCCGGCACTGACGGCGCACTGACGTATATCAGTCAGCCATCAGCCCACTCCCTCCAGCGCACGGCCTCCGCCGATTAGTGCCGCCGGACGACCCATAATGCCCGGATGAATAAGGGCTGTCACATCCAGCCGGCCTCTCAGCTGCCCTCGCCAGCAGGCTGCACGGCCATTGCCCCTGCCACTCCTCCCTCCACAACCAACAATGAATGCTAATCATCAAGAGACAAGTGGTTCCTGCGGACCACGCTCCTTAGACCATGCTCTTACCGCTCATAACCTGTCTAAGACATCACTCAACCCATCTACGTTGGGCGCTACAAGGACAACGCTATGCATTAACTCAATCGTGAGGGCACTTTAATAAAATTTGCCTTCCCTTCAGAAGTTTCCAGCATAGAGCGCATAAAACGCACGTCTGCCCTATCGACTCAATCTGTATAAAAAGATGACGTTCAAAGGTGACAACTGAGTGTTAGTTCATAGATACGGATCACCTCCACAGACCTGGGGAGGCGGACGAACGAGACCACCCCCAGACGGTTTACCGGGGTGACTGCACCGTCCGACTACCCCCGGTCCCCGCCTCCGGCATCTCCCGCACAAACACCTCCCGACTCCCGCCGACTGAGTGTGAAGAGGAGTCGCGGCCGCCAGGCGCGTCTCGCACGGCCGTGATAATGGCCGCAGCTCCAGAGGCGGCAATCTGCGCTGGGCCGGCGGCGCCGCGTCCCATCTCGGGCCGCGTCCCGGCCGGTAAAACGGCTACCCGGAGCCGGGCCGGGCCAGCCGGGCCGGCCGGGCAGGCAGGCAGGTGGCGGCCGGCCGGCACCGGCAGGTGGTGAGCCCGCCCTGTTATCGGCACCCATCCCCCAGCGGTCGGCCGGCGCGACAGCCACCAGCCGCGGCACGCCACAGGCCACTGGAAGGGTTGGGAGCTTACAAAGGGAAGACGCCCCCGGGACGGCAGGTGGCCACAGCACGGTCGGAACGAGAGGTCAGAGGGCTCTAGGACGGCGGCTCGCTGTACAACTTCATCGAACATCACACATCCACTGACATGAGCAGATTCGAACGGCCGGTGCTGCTACCGATTGGCCTTGGACCGGCACCACATGCAGAGTGAAGAACAACACAGCTGCCGTCTCGCGGGTCACACAGAGCCGCCTGTGAACATCAGAGCACACATCGGCACATGTTGGCGTGACGCGGGCCCACACGGCGGGCCATCCGTCATCGCGCGTCACGACTCACGCAGGTCCGGCGTCACGCGGCGCATTCCTATCCTGTCGGCGGGCGCCTGTCCGCCGTCCGGGGAGGGGGGGGGGGGGGGGTCAGCGCGGCGCTCCGGTGCATCTGAAACTGAGAACCGGGTCAGAGCGGCACGCCAATCTCGCGGGCGCGGCAGTGGAGTGCCTGTAGTAACGGCCGCAGAACAGGCGGAGGGTTACCGACAACCAGTCAGCGGCGGCGACCTCATGTCACAAGGCGCTAAACACAGGAAATAAGCAGACAAAACGACGTCGTCAAACGCCGCCGCGTCATCCAGCACGGCAGCAATCAACACAGGGCGGCGGCACGCAGTGGTATCATTCCCGGGCATCCTGCAGCACAATGTCAGCGCCTCGGCACCAGACAGTCACACACGCCATCAGCGCTCACGGAGCCGAGCCGTTCTGCAGTGAGTGGGTCAGTGGTGTTTGACCCCGCTCGGGACGGCCTTCTCACGAGGTGTACCGGCGGAGACGGCGGCGCGGTGGGCGGGCAGGCAGCCGCCGGTCACAGCAGGGAACAGCAGGCAACTACGTAACACAATGGGCGGCACGCGAGCGCCGCCCGAACGCGTCGGCTCTCAGGGACGGCTTTCACGTTTTTGAGGCTATTTCCGGCGGCCGTTGAAAGCCGGCGCACGACAAATGACGCGGGGGTGCAGAGTAATACAGCAGGTCACAGTCATTGCAACAAACGCTGCAGTTATTAATATCATTCAGCACGAATAACGAAGTGAGGCTTGACTGTTGACACATAACAATGCACTGACTAGTGCCCTGGCACCGACATCCGATTTAAGGCAACTTATTTACGTTAAACATTAAACTATCAATGAGGGAAATCAACAAAATAGGTAATTTGATAATTATTTAGAAGAATCCACTATAACTAATTCCATTGGCAAGAACCAGTTGAAATGCATCCATAACAGTCAAAACAGAGAATCTATCAGTATCTCAGCTACACCCAGCGCGGCGGCGCCCAGCCCTGGGCCGGGAGCGGTGCCGGACAGTACCTGCTCGGACGTGCACGTCGCGAGACACCACCGAGCCCTCCGAGTTGTTGGCCAAACAGCGGTACACCTGGGCGTGAATCTCCTGGCGGTAGTCCTCGGCGCGGAACGCCAGGAACCGCAGCGTGCCGTTCGAGAACACCTGAGCGGCAGGTCGGGTATACGGTCAGTGCAGCTCAGCTGGACGGAACAGAACATCACGGGGTGATTTTGTACTTCTTTGTCGCTAAGCTCACGGTGTTTAGTAATGTGGGGATGGTTTGATCTTGCGTTAATTTTCATCATGTGGCTTATGACAGAATTCCGTTAATTACCTATCGCGACCGAATCTCATTCAGAGACGATATCCCAGGACATTCCCAAGGCGGAAACCTTGAATTGGCCCCGGCACCTCCATAAAGAACAGCTCCAGAGCCGGTGGCGTGGCTCGGCCCCCGCCCGGTGCGGCCATTGTCAGTCCCGACCACACAATGCTGTCTGACGCCGCTGGTATGTGGCCGGAGGAAATTATACGGCCGCGCGCCGTCCTATCATCAGGCTGCCACCTGTTCCGGGTCACTTCCGGTCCACCGCGGCCCCGCCTGGGCCCGGGGCCGCCGCGCGGGGGGATACCCAGACACAGTGACCCGCAGCCCGGGGCCGCCGCGCGGGGGGATACCCAGACACAGTGACCCGCAGCCCGGCACACACAGAAGAGGAACTGTCGGGCCCAACAGAGAGGAATGGTACGTAACGTACCACTGCCGGGCATAACAGAGGGGAACCGCACCACTGCACAGTGTTTTATCTCGGCCTCAGAAGCGGACATAATACGATATCTCAGCAAGTTTCCATCGGATCCTAATAATTTTGATGTCAAATGAAAGCGCAGGCACTGGCGGTCATGCTGACCGTCGCTGATGTCCAAATACTTAGCCGGAAAGATCGTATCATCTAGAAAAACCAAATTCGCTATTTTACGCAAACAAGGCTTTTCTACAATCGCCAATGAAAATCTTTATTTCGTGTTCGCAGAGTGTTCTGATTTCAGGCGGGAACATCCATTTTAAGATTGGAATGTGAAAACATGCTTTGCTTTATTGATACCTAAATGTTTTTATACATTTGAGAGACGTTGCATGATGCACAAAAGCGTCATACAGATCGGACACTCAAGGGAAGAACGGATGCTCTGATAAATGCAATGCTAAATGGAATATATCAATTTATTCCTTTCTTTAACGGGTTTCAGGTTATATTATCGTGCTCTCCACATGGCACAATTGCGCAACACGATCCTAAACCTTTAGGTTAAATCAATGAAATCTCCTCAGAAGCATTCGACAACTATCAGATACGCCAAACACATCAACTGCGTAGCAAACAATCTAGCAGATATCAATGACCGCGGCGCATTTCCAATTTTCTACACGACATTGGCAGCGCAGTAGTCAGGCAGTTGCACCTCTACATGTTCAGGTTCATCACGATCGTCATCGCTCGAGTCCTCATCGCTCGGCTGAGTGCACTCATCGAGTTCTTCATCACCTGACGTCTCCTCTCGCTCTCCCTCGTCGGGTAGCATGAGCAGGTGACTGATGTCAACCCTGTACACGCGAGCTGACTCTCTTCCGCAACGGCTCCAGCATCGCCTGACACTTCTTCGTTATGACGGGGTCACTGGTGATGAGGAGGTGATGATATTGGTCCGTCATTGTGTTCACCGAAGACGTCTTTCGCGCATGTTTCTGCAAATATTCCCGATAGTGCTTGTTTCGGCTTTCCTGATTCTCTTCCGAATACATACCAATGGGGAGCAGGAGATTTTCGATGACGGCAGCACCATGGAGAAGGAGCTTGTGGACGCTGAACGGCATATAAAACCATGGATAGAGCTGAACCACGATCTCAGCCGTCTTCATGGCGTACGCTGAATCGTTCAGCATCTATGCGTTCTAGCGACTGCATGGCGTTCAGGAGCACTGCAAGCCGCGTGATGATTGCTTCATCCACGCCGGTAATTTCACTGAACGTTTTGGGGCTGCACAGAATGCTCTCCTAGCCATATTTCCATCGTTCGAAGTTCCTGCTCCCCCGGCACGACCGCGCGGCCACACCGACGCCGCGCGGTGGAGGTCTCTTCAACACGACACTGCCGGCCGCTCGGCACCTCTCGGCAGCTGAAATTTTCATAACACGAAGAGAACATGACTAGAATTATCCTGACAAAGTCTTGAGACGTGCAACCAGGTGCGATTTTTTGTAGCTCTATTTGAACGTTGAAACCCTACAGTAAAAAAATAAATTTAAAATGGTCGACATCTTAAGCTTCTAAAATGTTTATTCTATCAGAAACGGGTAAATGAACAACATAGGCGTCTTGCCAACATTGCAAGCTTTCAAATGATGTATAATTTTTACCTTAAGTTGCGAAAAATGAGCTCCCCAGGTGATTTCGAATGTGAACCGTAAAACGACCCGGTATGCAAACCACGAGGATCACACCGCAACACTCGTGTTTGTGACACTACTGCACACAAATTATGGTAGCTAGATGTTCTTTTTTTGCTTTGTTAGGCCTGCTGGTCTATTTGGACGTGCTTGGTGATTAAAAAATCGAGATATAAAATAGTCAAAAATGCTAATTATGTCCGCTTTTGAGGCCGAGATAAAACACTGTGCACTGCCGGGCACATAGCGAGAGAAGGCGGTGTCCCTCACAATCCCCAGGCATATGTATGTGATGTATACCTGGAAATGCGCTGCGCAGCCCGCAACGGCTCCCATGACTAGCTCACTGACCCGACCATAACCATCGATTGCAGTTCTACAGGTTCACATGGTCCGAGTGTCTGCACCCGAGCGGCGTCTGATCCATCCGAGGACTCCTGTCGGTCCCCAGCCTGTGGCCTGCCCCATCTCGAACCCCCCCCCCCCTCGTCTACCATCCGTTCTCCACTCGCCGTCGTCAGCGCGTGACAACCAATCGATCACATACCAATCGAGCCCAGTGTCACAGAGCAGACCGCGGACTGGGAGTCCGTGTCACAGAGCAGACCGTGGACTGTGAGTCCCATGTCACAGAGAAGACCGTGGACTGGGGGCACAGTGTCACAGAGAACACAGAGGATTGGGAGCCGGCGTGTCACAGAGCAGACCGTGGACTGGGAGTCCAGTGTCACAGAGCGGACCGTGGACTGTGAGTCCCATGTCACAGAGAAGACCGTGGACTGGGAGTCCCGTGTCACAGAGTAGACCGTGGACTGGGAGTCCCGTGTCACAGCAGACCGTGGACTGGGAGTCCGTGTCACAGAGCAGACCGTGGACTGTGAGTCCCATGTCACAGAGAAGACCGTGGGCTGGGAGTCCCGTGTCACAGAGCAGACCGTGGACAGGGAGTCCCGTGTCACAGAACAGACCGCGGACTGGGAGTCCATTGTCACAGAACAGACCGCGGATAGAGAGGCCAGAGCGGCCCTGCGGTTCACTGGGTCAGAACGCCCGGGGCGCCTATGACCTGCAGCTCGCACATACCGGGCCACATCCGAACACAGGAGTATACAGGAGGCATCGATCGCTGTTCAGCCGTGTTGCGGATTGATAAATCACCTTTGTACCGGACGTTAATAGTCATATATCATTATTCATCTCCATGTGATGTCGAGCAAATCCCCTCAGGATATGGCCAGACCTACTTGGCGTCTCACTGTGCGTGGCCGCGCCAACGCGGTCTATCTTGTCCCTGCTGGCCGGAGGCTATCTGGAGCGCCCCCCCCCCCCCCGAGCCGGGCTGCGCCGCCGCCCCCTCGGCCGGTCGATACGCAGCGGGCGGTCGGATTTCCGGGCGGGTCGGAGCGTGCCTCTGCTCCACGCACCGCGGCCGGCCGCTGACCGGCGGCACCGCCAGCCGGCCCACAGCTATCACTGCCGTCACCAGCCGTGCGGTGACGGTGACGTGCGGCCGTGACGGGTGATCCCAGACGGCTGTCACGCCGGCGTGACGCGGTGTCCGGGGTCGGCCGGGTCACAGTCACCGGTCACCGCGTCATCTCGGGGTCGGCCGGATCAGATCACCGGTCCCATACCGCGCGGATGGGCTCCCGAGACGTGTCCGAAAGTCTGAGACGATCCGTCGACTATCAAACGGGAAGGTTGGGCGTATCGCCACCCACTTGAGTCCTTCGGACCTCGAGTGGTGTCAAGTGTCGACAGATTACCACCTCAGTCCGCACATAACATTCGAGTGGGCAGTCACTATCCAGAAATACGAGTACATATATGGAGACGCATAATATAATATAACGCACACCATTCGTCTGATCATAATCTACCGTTAAGAGCGACAGTGTTGGGTTCGTTAGCCAGCGGTCCCTTTCACTGACAGCCGCTGCTGCAGACGGCAAGGCCGCGCGATGTTAGTGATGTGATACGCCACTGGCGAAACTGGCGGCGCAGTCATCACTGGCGGAACGGGCCGCTTAGCTGCCTGCAGCGGCACAGATGAACACACGATACGCAGCCAACAAAAGACCCAACACGCATACAGCGCGGGCCGAGCGCGCACCGCCCGGCAAAACACGACGCTTCCTGTCGGCGGCAGTAGCTGAACATAACCCGGCAGCACGCTGACTCCGCGACCGGCTGTGTATCGTGAGCTACCCCACACACGCCACCGAGCCGGCGGCACACCGGCTTCACAGCGCATAGGAGCGGAACTGCGAGCACGAGAGAGAAACTGCGTCCGGACGTGGCGCGCCGCCGCCCCGGCGACCGCAGCGACCCGGGAGCTGCTCTCCTGGCAGTGGCGACAGCGCTACCGGGCGGACTGAGACCTACCCGGCGACAGCGCTACCGGGCGGACTGAGACCTACCCGGCGACAGCGCTACCGGGCGGACTGAGACTTACACGGCGACAGCGCTACCAGCCGGACTGAGACGGCACTACCGGGCGGACTGAGACAGTGCTACCGGGCGGACTGAGACAGTGCTACCGGGCGGACTGAGACTTACCTACCCGGAGAGCGCTACCAGCCGGACTGAGACGGCACTACCGGGCGGACTGAGACGGCACTACCGGCCGGACTGAGACCAACCCGGCGACAGCGCTACCAGCCGGACTGAGACGGCACTACCGGCCGGACTGAGAGTCTGAGACGGCGCTAC